ACCCCAACCCAACCCAACCCACCCTTTTCCTTCATTTTAACTCTTTAAATACTTAGCTAGACCAAACCATGACATGCACAAAGTAAAGGCATCAAAAAACCTAGAGAGAGAGAGAGAGAGTGAGTGAAAAAGGAAAAAAAAAACACAAATATTTGAAGATTAGTGTTTGTAAAAATGGAGATGTATGATAGTAATAATCTACTACCACCAGGATTTAGGTTCTATCCTACAGAAGAGGAATTGGTGGATTTTTATCTGAGAAATAAGCTTAATGGCAAAAGAAAATTAGACATTCAACGTGTTATACCTGTTGTTAATATGTATCAACACAATCCATGCCAACTCCCAGGTTATATTGCATCATCATAATTCTTTCTTCTCTCACACACACACACACACACTATATATGTGATACTCAAAACCATTCAAGTTTACCCATTTTAATTATGTGATTGTTTTTTTTTATATTATGTGATGGTTTAATTATTAATTTCAAACATCATTTTTTGCAGTCTAAAAGATTAAGAATTTGTTATTAACCTTCATTTTATGAGATTTTTCCTAGTCATTTGTTTTTGATTGCTAAACCTAATTTTTGTAGAATTTACCTTACATGCACTTGACAACAATTTTAATATTTTTTTTTACACTATTCGTGTATTTGACTTGTTGTAGCATGTTAACTGCATCATTTTCAGGTTGTGAATCTTACTTATTAGGTCCCTAATAGAGCCGGATCCAGGATTTAAGCTCTATGGTTCAATTTTTAATATTTTTAGCATGGAACCCATTATATTTTTAAAGGTATGGGTTCATATCTACTATTTGTTGCAATTTCAATAGATTTTTACACATAAATTTATGCCCCGCGTCAAAAGTACTGGGTTCAGATGAATCCGATGCTAGTATGTTGCATCCGCCTCCGAGGGACAACTATCTCTAGCTATCTTAGATGACCTAATAGTGCAATTTTTTTAACTGTCAGTTCATAGAAGTTAGACTCTTTTCTTTAACCCTTCCTTTTTCTTAATGTGATTCTTGAAAACCAGAAATGGCAGGAGAAGGAATTCGAGATGGTTTTTCTTCATTCCAATTCAGGATAGGGAAGCTAGAGGAGGGAGACCTACTAGGCTTACAACAGAAGGATATTGGAAAGCTACTGGAACTCCTGGTTATGTATATTCATCCAATAATAGAATTATTGGGGGCAAAAGAACTATGGTTTTCAATAAAGGAAGAGCTCCAAATGGGAAGAAAACTCTGTGGAAGATGAATGAGTATAAAGTCAGTGATGGAGAAGCTTCAGCAACAAATAATAGTGTTACAAATTTAAAGGTCAGTTGCACCCTCAAAAATTAGGGTTTTTAACTAGCTAGCTGTAGTTCTAAAGCTACAGTCAAATCTCTCTATAATGGTGTCGTTTGTTCTGATTTTTTTTTTATGCTATAACATGGAATGCTGTTATAGAAAACATAATAAATTAGCATGAAAAATCAGTTCCAGAAAAAAAAAACTTGGTAGTTATAGTAAAATATTGTTATAAAGAATGGATGTTATAGAGAGATTTGACTGTATATACTCCTCCGCCCCAAGTTAGTTGTCATGTTAAAGCTAGTTTAGATTAGATCAACTCAATATTTTAAAATAAAAATTTAGATATTCAAAAACTCTACAAAAAATATTGCAAGTTGCAATCTTCTCATGTCAGTGTGATAAAAAATATATTTTAAATTTATGATCAAAGTTCACATAATTTAACTCTTGAGAAGCAAATTGTTATCGGGGCGGAGGGAGTATATACTTCCTCCATCTCATTTTACATGAAAGTGTTTGACCAGATACAAGGGTTAAACCAAAAAGAAAGAGTTTAAATTTATCATTAGATATTTTTGTGACTATAAATTATTACGGTAAGATCAATTTAATTGACTTCCATAAATCGAGGTTCTATATTCACGTAGTTTCTAGGTAACAAGGCATTAACTCGAGCCAAGAATCTAGAGATAGATTATTCTTGTACCTGAACCACTTTTATTTGTTTCAATACTTTTCGCAAAGACTTACTAGGGACTGTTTCGTTAAGATCAATCCCGGATTGTAATAACTCTATTTAATTTCCTAATAATAATATCTCGTCTTTAAGCAACAAAAAATATAATGTTATAGCAATAGGTTATTCATTGCGGATCCACGAATCTTTTTTTTTAATTATTTTACAAATATAGATAGATGTGCCACTAGATATACAAAATATGACCGTACATACAATTAGTTTGGTTGATTTTCGGGTTATGAAGTGTTGGTCAAATACAAACAAACTTATTATTGAGCTGAGATAGTTTGATTTTTCTTTTGATTCAATCTATTAAGTAAAATTGAAAGCAAAATAATTAGGAAACAAATGTTAGCAAGTCAGGAAAGTGCATCATCAATTATATTATTTTGATGAAAATTAAGCTTTTCTAAAGAAGGTGTTAACTGAATTTAGTTTTTCCAGGAAGAAATTAACAAAAGAAAAAAAAATATAAATAGAGGGTCCCAGTTGTAAAAAATGAGTGATGATTTTCACAAAGAAATTCTTAACCGCGATTGTATGAGTGACCTAAGCTCAGTGCACTGTTCAATTCGCCATGTACATAGGTTCACAATATAAATATACAGTGACGGAGCTAGAGTGTCGAGTGCGGATTCGATATACCTAGTAGTTTTGGTTCGAACCATGTATTTGTCTTAAAAAATTCATTGTATATGTATAAATTATTAATTAAAATTACCCAATAATTTAAAACGATTAGAATCCGTACCCATAAGTTTAAAATCCTGACTCCGCCTTAAATATATAATATGTCTATAATTTTTTAGGATTTTAGCCAATAATTTGAGTTCACTTGCACCACAACTAAGCACATATGTTTTGTGATGATTGCATTTAAGGTGGAACTGACAAAAAAGCATAACCAATATAATGTACTATATTAATTGTTAGAACTCCCAACTCGTATTTACCTTGCACAATATTGTTTGGGTAGGTACGTAATTCATGTTTTAAAATAAATTATATATATTTATGTACAATTAAATCTTTTTATAATTTTCTTATTTGTTTCGATATTTTTCGGCTGTTATAGTAAAGTATTCTTATAGAGAATATAAATTAAGTGGTTCCAAAGAAAACTTGACAGTTATAATGAAATATTGTTATAAAGAATTCAAATTACATCTATAAATCAGCTCATTAAGAAGAAAAAAAAAAAGTGAAGTTTAACATTATCTATTTACAAATATAAAAAATAATTTTTTAAACTAAAAGGGAAAGTATGTCACATAAATAAGACAAAGGAAGTATCTTGCAAGGGTTAGATTTAGAGTCCGAAACTTAAATATTATACTTTTGGACAAAAAATACGTTTTTACAGTGTAAAAAAAAAAAAAGATACATTTCTACATAAAACGCAGTACACTACTGCGTTTAAGATTAACAGAAAGTTAGCCGTTAAAGCTAAACGCAGTAGTGTACTGCGATTCATTAAAAATTAATTTTTTTAAAGGGAAACGCAGTAGAGTACTGCGATTCATCAATTCGCAGTATTATACTGCGTTTCGCTATTAAATTTGGGCCCACCATAATAACAGTTCTACAAGACTGCCGAGAATATTTGTTTTTTAGTGTAAAACGTATTATAATACTGCGTTTTACACCAATTTTTTGGCCCACCAATAAGTGTTCTGCGAATAACTTACATAACAATAATTCAAATAGATAAAAACAAGGTATTGTACTGCGTTTTATATATAAAAATTCTGCACCCCAAGCTCGGACTTGCCTTATTTAAAGGCGTTTGAATTTTATGAAAATCCATTCAAAACTTTCCTTCAAACTTCCGTTCATACTTCTCTCTTCTTCTTATCTCATTTTTTTAATTATGTCTGAAGAGCCAAAAATAAGGATTTCATTATATTGGGGGGGGGGGGGGGGGTGGGGGGGGGAATGAAGTTGTGCGT